TTTTCTTTGGTTAAGATTTAGTATCAAATACTTGGTTCAAGGCAAGTTATTTGAGTTGAAATCAGAGAACGGTTTTAAAAGAAATGTCACCATATTACCGTTCTCAGCACCCTCACCACCTGGTTTGCACATAAAAAAAGAAGCAAGGGGGGGAAAACATAAAAGACAAACAAGTAAATAAGCCTTAGCTTAGCTAGGCGGGCTGGCACCAATGGGATTCTACCCCATGCTAAGTGTGAATTTGTATCCCTTTGACCCCCAAAAATCAATTGTCTTTCCCCTATAGAGAAACAGGTACATATAGGAAACAACAATCAGTAATCTTTTGCAAAAGAAAAATTGAGCCTAAAATTTCTAGTAAAGAAGCAAAAATAGAGATGAATCCACAGAACATACTTAATAAATAATTTATAATTGAAGTTCCACTTACACTAGCATTACAAGTATCAATACCAGAGCCATCTTTGTTCTACAGCAGAGAGATATGTCACTGGATCTCAAATTCCTAAATATCAAAACCTTTCAAGGAAATCCAAAATGAAAGGGATATAACTAGACAATACTCATCATATACAGTAGAAGATTGCTTACCCCTAATGCAAAAGTTGATAGTGGTGAACTTCTGGTGATTAAAAGGCCATCGGGATTTTGATCAGAGAAAAGATTGGACCAGAACGCAAAATACGTGGACACAGCAGATATGAAAATGGCATGAACTGTTGACATGCCACTGCAGAAAAATAAGTCTCACAAACATGAGAAGTGAATCATTAAATCCTTGGGAAAGATAGAGATAGAGCTGACTAATTACCGGTTGTTCCACTCAGTCCTTTGAATTTTTGTTAGGGTAGTGTACGTCCTAAAGTAAAAACTGCTGATCAGTTGACATAGATCATAGACCTGTGAAGAGCCAAAAGAGTTTAAAAGGAACAGTAGTACAGGGGGGAAATTGTGCAGCACATGAAAGTATATTATGTAGGACATGATCTATAATTTTCTGGTGAAACCAATTAGATGTTTTATTAGTTTCCCCCAATCTTTACTTTTACTTCACTACCATGAAGAGAGAAGACCAAGAAAATGTCAAAATTTCTTCATCAAGTATGACTCAACTTTTAATAAAAAAGGGAACTCCTTTCTTCAATAGTCACAAGAATGAAAAGGATAAAAGGATCTATAATCAATAAACCTTACCATTTTGCAAGCAAATATGCCAGCAAAGACAGAAGTGTAAGGTATAAAAGGATCTGCTAACAAATAAGTTTTAACCAGAGTCTCAGCCTGACTCTGATAAGATCTAAATGCCACTACATTCCGTGCAGGAGCTGCCTTTCTACCGATTGCAGTTGTCATGTCTTTGGCTCTCTTCTTAACAACTATCTATGTTTATACAATGAAGATCACCTATACATGTACACTGCAATATATCCCAGAGCTTCCTGAAATGGAAAATTCAGAAATATATCTATTAGCATGAAGCAGTTTCTTAATATAGTATGAGCATGATAAATGATTGTTAATAAGGACTATGAGCATAATAAATGTATTTGATGCGCGTTGAGAAAAGACTTGGAAGGATAATTTTGAAACCTTTCAAAATGAAAATGAGTAGCTGCAAGTATCCTAAAGATCAAACTGCATACAGGCAGCTATGACAAAAAAATCATCTGTATCCAAAATATATATATCAATTTAACTATGAATAGCTCAAAATATATGCCACAAACATCATTTAATACACTTGAATGCCTTATATTCCCTCCTCTGTCTTCCTCCTAAATCACTGGAGTGTCCGATCCTCCAAAATCACAATGAAACAATCATTGAACCCACTCTTGGCATCAATCTTCTTGATTGCTGCCTTCCTAAGATATCCAGTCAATGAACCCTTACTGGAAGTAAAAGAGCTCGCATTAAGATCATGTACAACTTAAAACTACCTCTCCGCTACGACTATTTATCCCCTGTGTTAATATGAACTCAAAAACATTCTGCAAACTACCATACCACTTAAATCAACTAAAAAACAAATTGCACCAGAAAAACTAAAATCACAGCATTACAACATATGCAAAGTGAATCAGCAAAGTAATTTCACCTTCCTTCCACACCCCACCCCAAACCGTCAGAAACAACGGCAAACTAGCTTCTATTCACCGACCCATTTTCAAGATTTTATTTTTATGACCACTAGATGCTACCAAATCAAAGGTCAAACAACCCAAATCTAGAACAATGCAAGAGATCGGGTCCAGAAAAGTAAGCAAAGTCACAATACTCCAATCAATACCCAGAAAAGAAATAAACCAAAGATATATAACCAATGCACACAAAAGCTTACAGATCATAACAAAAACATTGCTTCTTACCCCGCAAAAAACTGCAGATTTCAGAAAAATCAACAGCATGCACCTCCCAAGGATGCAACTTTCCACAATACACAAAACCCAGAAACAAAAACCGATAAGAAAGCCAAAAGATAATATTTTTATTAATGTAAAATGGGTATTGAAGGAATGTGAAGAAGTAATCAAAAGTGAAATCAAGAAAAGGCAAAGAACCCGTGACAGGGGTGCAAAAACATAAGATACAATCAATTTGGAGGAACAACAAATGTAGATTTCGTGATTATTGAGCTGTTGTTTTTTCCTTTGTATGATTTTTTCTTAATTGGAACTGTAATGGAATCTCCAACCGAAGCAATGAATGAGAGAGAAGGGCGAATATGAAAATGTTAAAAATAAAAATAAAAATTGGGTGTGGTGGGAAATGGTGAAATATACAATCAATTAAAGTACACTGTTTTTTTTTTTTTTTTGATAAGTTGTCTTTTTGGTGTTAGCTGCTACGTGTGGGCTCATTCTTGGTTGCTATTTCATTGTTTTTGAGTGGATGCTATTCTATCTTTACCTCTTCTTGATAATAATAATAATATTCCTATAACCTCCGTCTATATTACTCGTCCACTTTCTCTTTTTATACGCCTAGATAAGTAATAGAGAAAATTGAAAATACTTTTATATTTAATGTGAATTATTAGTTTTATTTTTGAACTATTGACAACATTAAAAACATTCACTTATTTCACTAATGGAACTGAAATACACAAACCATATGAGTAAAATACACCTCTAAATTCTCACTAAGTTTAGTGGTATTTTCAACCTTTCTCTCCAACTTTTTATTAAGAGTTGCACGCTCCTACAAGAGTTTGAAACTACTTGTTATGTCATGTCGCAGATTGGGTAAGGCGGAGCTACCCTAGGTCAAAATTACATTGTATTTATTGATCAAAATTTGATTTAATAAATATATATACAAGTGTTAACACATCTTGACATAAATTGAAGATTTAGTGTAGTGATTAAGGGGTTGCAAAACTTGTTTGAGATTTGAGTGTTCTAATCTTGATATCAAATTTTTAGAGGTATTTTTAATATTTCTCTCTAAATAATATGGACGGAGGTAGTATTTTTATAAAAGATGTGAGGATAAAAAAAAGTCTAAAAATAGAATGAAAAAAAGCTAATGAAAGAAGTAAGTACTACGTCATAAATCATAATGGAAAGATTCAAAAGATTTAGAAGGAAAAAAAAAAGAAGAAGAGACAAATATTGACACCCATTTCCACCTTTTTTTCTTTTTTATATATTTCGGTTACAAATAGAAAGGGTCTTTAGGAGGAGCAATTTTAATCAAAGGGTTGATTATAATTTATAATGGTCTACAATCAATATTCACAAATAGTCAAAACAATCATCGTAACTTTGGAAAAATTGTGACCTTATTGTTTGTCGTTTGGGAAAATTTTATTGACAATTCGACGTAAATAAAAAGGATTAAAAGAAAAATAATCTATTCTATAGAGTTTATAGTCTATGTTGCTTTTGAATATTCAAGATAATTCGAGGATTGACCAAAAGAAATTTTGTTTAACTAAAAATGACCTGTCATGTTATAAAAATGGAGGTAGAACTGCAGAGCTTTTCAATGTTACCTAATTGTACTTATTAAAAATATTTCCAATTTGAAAGAACCTTCTAAAATAGGGGTGTGCACTATTTGAATTAAATAGAATAATTAAATCAAATTTTTATTTAGATTGGTTTTTTGGTTTTTCGGATTGATTTTGGATTAATAAATTACTTTGTTTTGTTTTTTGGTTTGGTTTCAGGTTTTAAAAAATAAAAACCAAAAAACTGGAAAAAAAAACCGAATTATATATATATATATATATATATATATAATGTTTAGGTTTAAAATTAAGTTGGAGTTAACCACTTTTGTCCCTTTTTTATTATTGCTTTTCATGATGATTACGTTTATATTTTATGTTTGAATTACATCTATAATAGGTATACTTACAAGTATTGGATTTTAAGTTTTACTTATGATTTATATTAGAAAGTATATTTAAGGGATTAAATATTATTACTTTGATTATGTTATTAATTATTGACATAACCGAATAATCAAACCGAAAAAAGTCTAACCGAATAGGGAAAAATCAAACCAAACCAAATTTATTTTGAATCGGATTGAATTACACTTTTACAAAATCAAAAACTAAAAAATCCAAACCGAATAGTACAAAACCAAATCGAAAAACCAAATGCACACCCCTATAGGGAATAAATAAGTTTCAATTTAGAAATTAACTAAAATATGATCATTGAAAATCAGAAAGTGAGGCAAAATGATCAAACAACGTGAAAGTTATTTCTGGAGGTAAAATAGTTATGTTGTAGTTTCGAAAGGCAGCGAAGGACCCCAAAGAAAGAAAAAAAAAAGACAGTTCTAATAGTTTCAACTTCCAAGTTAGAAACTTGACAACGAAGAAAATGATTTTTTCAACCAAAAGAAAAATTACAAGATCAGTAATCCCACAAGTGGGTCGGAAGGGTGGTGTGTACGCAAACCTTAGAAGATAAAGAGTTTGTTTCCGATAGACAAAAGAAAAACCAGAACCTGAACCTGATCCAGAAAAGGAAGTATTATCAAAAATATATATGAATTAGAACTCTAATACCGAAAATTTCAACCCCAATGGGAGATGAGGGCATGTGATTCTATGTTTGCTTCCTACAGCACTCTCATTACAAGCTTTACAACTAGCGACCACATCAAAATCTCCAGCCTGTGTGACACTCCTGTGCTTGATTTCACTCAAAACCACCCCATTGATGAATGTCGAGCCATTCAGAATATGCTGATACAGAAGCGTCACACTTTTCTGTATATGAAACCACCACCATTTCTTTATCATGATACTTTTCTGGACAAATTCTGAAATCCAGAACCAAGACACATAAGATTGACAGTTCCTGTGGAGGCATCAGGCTTCATGACAAACTTAACACCCAAAAAATCTCTGATGTGTCTTAATGCTTCTATTCCGTAGGGTGACAGCTTCCCAACGCGAACTTCTGAAACATCTTTGGGACACAAGGCACATAGAAGAAACAGCAGTCCCTGTTATGATAGACAAAAAAGAGATTGGTGAGCATTGGAACCAAGAAGTCATAGAACAGGAGAGAGCACCAGACCATCTTAAAGTAGATATCCTTGCTATTTTCAGCCCTAAATGGTGCTAGGCAACATTTATGAATGGGAACTGGAAGAAGCTTGCTCCAGGATTTAAATGTAGAAGTACTCATAAGCACACCAAAATGTCACATGAGTCAGCGGAGATTCAAGTCGAGATGCAAAGGTAAAAGACAGTGTCATGTAGAAAGTTGAAAGAGCCTGATATGATCAGCTAGAACTCATAAAGAGTTACGTTGTCAGAAATTACACACACCTGATGTGTTGAATCAACAACTCCTCCCTGTTTAATTTCCCCAAGTAGTGCAGAAGCTATTTGCTCGCCAACTTCCTCAGCAGGGATCAGATCTTTCCTATCATCCTCTAGGTCAGCATCATCTTCTCCTCTTGAATAAGAAACTGCAGTATCAACAGATATAACACAACCAGATGTAGTCTCTGCAACTAAAGAAATTCCGTAGCCAGGTGACCTGCAATCAAAGTTGATCTTCAGATATATCAGCAGTTCCAACTTAAAACATGACCTGAATAGTTACTACATAAAAAGAAAGCAAGTGCGAGATATCTACAAAATGATCATACATTCCGGCTTGTGCTCCAGCTTTATGATCTGTAAAGATGTGAACATCTGAAAGGAAAGGATTCAAGATTCCACGAGCTGCATGTATCATGGTATTCTCAAACTGAACAGAGACCCTAGTTGAAAAGGAAACACCTCTAATTCTCTTCACCAGACCTTCATCAACCCATTTAATAGCCTGTATAATAGCAGTCACCAAAACAATTGGTCAAAAAAATCATTAATAGTTACTGAGCTACCTCAGAATAGAAAACAATGAAGTCTATGAAAAATAAACTCACCTTTAAACTATTTGGGACCATAGGGACTGAAAGAACTACTTCTCCACCACCTTTAGGAGCGACTCCCCGACTCTCAATTTTCAGTTCCAATCCTTCTGCAGGGACTCCGAACTGCTTCAATATAGGCAAAGTAGTTGATCGAAAAGTATCAATAGATGGGTCCTTTGAATCATTTGTGATCCCTGAAAAAGTTATTTCAAGCCTTACGATAATAACCAAATTCATAAAATAACTGCAACATTTTCGAACTCACATTTGGTTATAAGGAAATCAACGGTTTTAACGTCCAAAAGCTGTAAAATTCAAAGCGAGAGCAAGTTTCCGTACTTTTTGGGATTTATCTTTGCACTTCACAACTTTTTAGGGGAGTGATACTAGAGCTCCAGTGAGCTTCTTGAGCTATTAAACCCAAGCAACTTACTGGATAACAAACCTATCTCCCTTTTTATGTCCTCAACTTGCATTGAACCACCACCCAAAAGAGTAAAAAATAGGCCGATTTCCTTACACAAGGCAGAGTTAAGACTAATAACAGCTACCAAGGGATTACAGACTTGCTATTTCCTCAACCACCTCCAGGGCTGTGTAACTATCAGGCTGCCAATCTCTTACACGTAGTTGCCTAGAAATCTTTTAAGCTTCTCATCTTAATTCATAGAATTTCAGAATTTGTCATTTTTTTTATGAAAGAATTTCAGAATTTGTCATTGCTATTGCACTTCTCTGTTGTCACTCAAAATTTATATGCAAAAACTCAAGGGATCAAATTGCAATTGTGTATGTGGTCATCTAATCCTGGATGAAATTGATTGGTTGAGGACAATCAAAGACTGACAGCATGTGAGGAAGTGGAACTAGAAGCTAATGTGGTTACGAGAAGGAACTGATTTCTTTGATCAGGCTTCTACTTTAGGTGAAGCTGGAATATCCACCAGGCATGTTGCCAATCACCAGAGCAACTCTGGTCCCAAATTAGACTTAAAAACATGGAAGAGATGATAGATGTCCTGAAACAAAAGAGAAAAAAGAAGTAGAGACAGTTGAACAACGCTTTCAGCAGCAGACTGAGAGAATTGATAAAACCAGGCAAAGGTTGGGGAGGAGCTAAGATGAGGAAAACTGGTTCAAGGATGTTTTAGGAATACGACTAGGGGATTGGAGTGCCAAAGAAAACTGTGAAAATATGTGATATATTAAGGTTTGAAAAATAACATAGAGATAAGATGCCATACTGAACATTCCAGATGATTAATCCAATTAAGTTGTTTGGAAAAAATTTATCTATAAAAAGACACCTCAGTTCACGTGCCCACTTAGTATTTAAGGAGTCGTTTGGCCATGAACAAGATTCAGAATATTTGAACTAATATACATTTCAAATAAGTACTTGTTTATTAAATTGTCCCATTATTTCAATTTCAAACTTGAAATATAGAATTTGAAGTTTGAAAATTGGTTTTTTCGAGTTATTTACTTTTCACTAACAACTTCAACTTTGTTTTCATGTCCAAACATGACTTTCAGCTTCGAAATACCTTTTTCCAATTTAACTTCAAATACTACTTTTTTCAAATCTCAATCAAATCATGCCCAAACGCCTAATGCAATAAGTTGAAAGTACAGCTGAAGGGAAAAATAAACACCAAACCATCTTTAAGAAAAATTAAAGAAGTAAAAGTGGATCAAAAGGAGAGTAAAGGCATGCCTTTAAGCCTGATGGTGAGTGGTTTCTTTCCAAACAAACCGAGCACAATCAACGGTTCCAAGAAGTAGCTAATGGAGCGACTGACACCACAATCATGAACTAAATGTCTTCCTCCCATAATAATTCCTGGTTTGTACTTCAGTTTTGTGCCTGCCAAAAATAGCCAGTTAAACTCTAACTCCAATATCCACAAAGAACCAATTTTAGCACAGAATATAAGCAATCATGGAATGGTGGAGCAGAAGTTTACCAGTTTCATTGATTTCAACAACACAATCATCACAGACTTTTTCAAGGAGGCGGAGGAAAGAGACCTCATGTGGACGAAGGCCAGGCCAAGTAGCATCAGCACGTATATCCTCGATGATAATCGATTTGGTAGAAAGGGTTGCCAGTAAAAGACGTATTCTCAAGTTTTGGCTACCCTTCAGCTTCATGTAAGATACTTTCCCCATCTTGTTTCTTGTCTTTCGCCTCTGTCTCCACGTATAAATATGTATAATATATGCTCTGAAAGTGTTGTTGTCTACTCAGCATAAAAATTAGAGAAAGTATGTACAAAGAAAGACAGAGAAGATAGAGGAAGCATACCTTTGATTATGTCAGATAAACAAAAAATGGGGAGTTAGCTGAAGGAAGAGATGGGAAAAGAGCAAGTTAGCAGCGGGAGTGGTGCCAAGAATTTCAGGGCTGAAAGCGGTTCCCACTAAACAGGTTCAATTTTTAGAGCCCATTTTAATTAGCAGAAATTAAGTAGCTTTTGAGAAGCAAGTGTTGAAAAGCACTTTTCAAGTGTTGAAGCTGAAAAAACAGTTGTTGGTGTGTTTGGTAAGTGCTAGTAAGTACTTTATCTGTTAAAATGAGTGAAATATCCTTAAATCTGTTAATACTATAAAAGAGATTACAACACTTTCATTAAACAAAGGGCAAATGCTAGCATGTATACAAAAAGTACACCAAAAGTAGACAACCTTAGAAGAGGACATGTTTTCTACAAATAACACCCATTCATCTATACATGTAGGAAACCTATGGGTGCAACTCAAGATTACAAAGTCTTTCTCTGATCTATCAAAAGCTCTTCTATTCCTCTCTAACCATATGATCCACATAAGTGCTAGAGGAACAACATCTCATTCCTTGCATCTTTTCTTCCTACTTCTAAATGCCCAACTTAACATTGTTTCTTTCATGGTACTCAGCATCACCCACTCAAGTCTAAACCATCTCAAAATTTTCCACCATACACAAGAATTTATCCAACAATGTAGAAGAAGATTCACATCTTCACCTGATTCTTTGCACATGAAACACCAACTAACACAAGTTATCTTTCTCTTCCTCAAATTCTCCGCAACACCTACTCAAGTCTGAACCATCTCAAAATTGTATATAATTTTATACAAGATGTTTGTTGAACTCGTAGCTTTTAGTTCCTAAATTTACACAAAGAGAAACTTCACACTCCCAAAGTTTCTCCAAAGCTTCTTATATCTCATTGTAACAAATTTTATATTGTAGCATTTGCTTTAAAAGGCACATGCTCGAGCAGTTGAGGTGAGAAGGTGGCTGTAACGAAGTGAGCGAGGGAGGAGAAAATTTTGCCATTGATATTTTATTTTCACTCCCTTGGGATGCTTCACATGCGTACAAAACACCAACTATCCTAATTACATCTACATATGCAATCAAGTTTGAGTTGGATTTGTGCAAAGTGAGATCTCTATATTTTAATTTATTGCATAATTCAAATTCCTCTCATCAGTGGGACTTTAAAGTAGGAAGTAGCTGAAATCGATGTTTTTCATAGTTTTACCTTCTTCTTTTTCCTCATCTTAGCAATTCACTCATCAAACTACCATAAAAATTAACTTGCAAAAAACAGCCAAAACAACGATATAAAGAAAATAAAGCAGAAAAATCCTATCAACAACAACAACCTGAAAAACTCAACATATGATGACGCTCGTTGTTTGAAGATTTAAAACAAATAAAAAGTAAAGCAGCAGTGAAAAAAACGCAGAAAGCTGATAAGGTAACTAATATCACATAGAAAAAATGCAGCGAGAGAAAACACGAGAGTGAAGCTTACCGTTCGCCACTGAAATCGCAGCAGAAAAAAAACGTGTGCAGAGATGGAGGAAAGGAAGAAGAAACGAGGAAGAGACAGAAAAATAGGTTACGGCTATCGTAGAGGGTAATGTTGAATTATGAAAACTTACTAGGGATATAAACGTAAAATCAACTGTCACCCTAAAATAGATGAAAAGCCCCCAAAAAAAAAAAAAAAAAAAGGCTAAAATATAATTGTTGAGTTCTTTTAAAAAATTTAAAACTTGTCCCAAATTTTACGATTTATATAAAAAAAAAAGTCCATCTATTTATGACTCTAACTAATTTTATCTACATTTTTTCCTCATTAAATAACTTTTGATCTGAAATGCATGCTCGCTATGAAGAGATTATTTTAGAAAGTAGAAATATTATATTAAAGAATAGTTAGTTACTATAGTTAAAATTATTATTATTTATTAATTTCTACCAATAGATATTCCTAATTAATTATAATTTAACGAATTATAGTAGTTGGTAATGGTGTTATTTATAGCTTTTATTAAAGTATCATTTTATGATTTTTGGATAATGTATTATCTAGTTTATCATTAAAATTAAAAAAAAATGTGTCGAACTTACGGATATTTTTAATAGTTTTTAAAATTTATGGGTATAGATAATGTTTCATGTGTTTTTTTATTTAAAAAAGTAAATATGTTTTCAAAAACTATGATCAAACATGTGTTGAAACTTCAATCCAAACTTCATCCAAATCTAATTTTACAAAAATATTTGAAAATTTATCATCAAACTATTGCTTAAAATTACGGTGTGAATTGTTGAATTAATATAGTATACTAATGACATTTATTATTTGTAAGAATTTACCTTTTTTTTATCTTTAATTTTGGTTTTATAACTCAAAAACATTTTTATAACACACTATCCTTAAAAAAATGAGTACTCGTTAATATAGGATACACACGCAATGCATACGTCAAGAGCATTGTAAATGTGAAATGCAAATAGTAATAGGATGAATTTTCTAACCACCAATTTATTGCCAAAACAAACGTTTTCACAAATTTAGTCAACAATAATCAATGTTGTTAAATCTAGTAACCATAAAGTGGATTATATGTGATTATCTCCTATATATAAATATTTGTTTTTAAAAAAAAGTTCATATAGTCCGATATGACAAATTTTATTTTATTTCCAAACATTGTGTGATTTTCTCTCCTATATATATATTTGAGGGATGGGAACTAGTACAATTGGAGTGGGAGAAAAAGAGCAAAATAAATAAATAAATATATATATATAGATGGAAAAAAAATTGCTTCTTCTTATTTTCTTCCATCTACTTAACAATTCATCAGCAAATGTTATAGATTCAATTTGTAAGGCAACTCAAGATTATAAGCTTTGTAATGAATCTCTCACGTCAAATCCTTATAGCGCGAATGAAGATGCTAAAGGTCTTGCACGTATAATGCTTTATTTGGCTTTACACAAGACCACACATATCATTGTTTATGTCAAGCGAATGATAATCGAAAATAAATTTCCAGATTATCGTTCAGTTTGCGAAGACTGCCTTCAAGTTTGCGATAAAAACTACAATTTTATTTTGCATTATTTCGTCCTAAATGCCATTAAATATTTTGAGGTGGAAATGTATCATGATGCAACTTTTGCCATCGGACTATCTGGTCTGAATGTTTCAACTTGTGCAGATGCTTGTGTAAAGTGCAATACTTTTAACTTAACAAATAAGAGCAATGAATATGCATATTTTGTTTTAGTAGTTGGAGATGTAATAGACTTCTTGTATTAATAAAAGTATATAAGTATTGTAGTGTACTAGTGTATTGTATCAAATTAAGTAGTTAAATTTAAAGATTTTCTTTGTTTTATTTTTTTGCTCCATTGGTAACTCGAACTCACAACCTTAGAGTTGAAAGTGAGGGATATTACCATTCGAGCAACTCTATTTGTCTAATTTAAAGATTAGAGAAAAAAAGAGCTAAAATTTTGTGTTTGTCAGCGTGTATATAATTAACAACGATTAAGTGATAAAAAAGTTATTTACAAATCAAAACACATAATATATACATTGATTTGTCTTATTCTAATGTTAGTGTGGACAAACAATTGAAAAGAGAGAAGACGAGGAAAGAGCTTGACAATATTAATATCCAAAAAGAAAGCTTAGATTGAAAAAATATTTTTCAAAGAAGTGTTTTTTTAAAAAAAATGGTAAGAAGAGTAATTTGTATTTGCTAATAAAAATTCAAATCACTTATATGAACGACGATTATATCTAATCAAATCTTTTAAAATGCATGTATTTTTAAAAAAAATGCTTTTCAAGAAAGATCTTTTTTTTTAATAAACGCAATCTTTTGACCTCTTAAAAGTTTGATCAAACAGACTATTGGAATGAAAACTAAAATAGTATATTATGGCAACAGAGGATACCCATGGGGGAGGGGGTTGAAGGGAAAGTTACATGAATACTAATTTTGGTATTTTTTTACTCTTTTTAGACGTTACATTTACTCATATACTTTATCTTTAAGTAATTTCATTCTAATTTTGGTATATTCTACCTTTTCCTTTTCTTATTTCATGTACTTTAAGAAATAATGAAGGATATACAAACATTTTGGTGAATCTATGGATAATTTGTTAATTTCGATGCAGATGGGATTTTGATCAATAACAGTTTTTCTATAATTGAGGTCATTAAATTTGATACTAGATTTGATATGAGTTATGTTTAATAAAATTAATTAATCTCAACTTTGTATCTATTAATAATGAAGAATATGGTATTATAATCTTAGGCGAAAGTATATCTCCTCATACTTATGAGAGATGTTATAGGATATAAAAAGTTGTACACTGTTATTATATAGTTAAAATTTTGGATAAGATTATATATATAAATTCCAAAATTAGTTGTAACTTTTAGAATTATCATTTTTGTATTTGTGTGATTTTCTCAAAATAATTAAGAAGAAAAAACACTTTTTTTTGTTTTTCAATCGGTGTTTGATATCAATTTGCACGCTTCCTTGCAAGCATGAAATTCTTAGTTCGCCCTCTACCATACGGGCCGATGTACTCTTATCGCTAACCCTGAGAGAGACTATACTCTAAGAGCCAACCGACTCATTATCCCTGGATGCAACGATTAAGAAATAGTGATGTATCAGGGGCTAAGCATACTTTCCGATCAGGAACAAGAAATGGAGCTATTAAGTTAAGGTGTTACTTCTCTTTTTTCTAGCCCTTCTTTGTGTTAGAGTCCGATTAATTCGAATTCGTTCGCATAGGACTGTATTTAGAGGAAAGCACCCCTACCAAAAAAATTTAAACGAAAACTGGAAAAAAATAACTAAATGTTTGCTTTTGGTGAAAAAATGGGAAAAAATAACTAAATGTTGGGCAGCCACAATCCACCCAAATTGTCGATACAATTAAATGTGTTACCAATATGAAAATATTATTATTACCAATTATGTTTGTATTCTAAATTTAATGTATTACCCCTATTATATGGCAACAAGAATATAAAAGTTTTGATAACAAAGGAAAAACTTATGGTTATAACTTAAGAAGTTTCATGACTTTAGCCAGAATCAAGTAATTGTCATTTATTAAAATTTGCCAATAATACTGTGGATGTCTATAAAAAAAAGTCATTTTAAATTAACCGTAAATATGAATCAAATAAGAATATACTAATAAAAAAAAGTTGCGGTTAAAAGTTATTTATTGAAATTAAATTGTTGGTGCCATTTATATAAATAAACCAACAATACTATGATTTGGTAAAAATATGTTGCAAATTAAAATTCATACTTTATTGTATTATAATTTTTAAAAGCTTTAATTATTTACCAACAAGGGGTTGCTCATAAGTCATATAGTAAACACTTTCTAGCCCTCTATTTTTAATTTTACGGTTATGGATTCGAATCAGCAAAAAAAGTAAAACGGTGAAAACTAGGATAATATATATATATATATATATATAACAATCCATTAATAGGTCATAATCATTTATTCGTTGGAGCCTTTACTCTTACTCTTGTACTCTCTTCGTCCATTTTTAATTGTTATGTTACGCTTTTCGAAAATTAATTTAACTATTTTTTAAAGTGAAAGTAGATTACATTATAATTTGATATTTTAAACAAAAAATCTAGATATTCAAAACTTATACGAAAAGTACTATAAATTGTAATTTTTTATATATCAATATGATAGAAGAAATACATTGTAAAATGTTAGTAAAAAAACTTATCGTTTGACTTAAAAAAGGAAACCTTGACAATTAAAAATGAACGGAGTTTTTTCATTTTTTAAAACCTTTTTATAGGCAAGTTCTTTCATCTGGTGGGATAGAAATATTTAGAGAATTTCTTCCTTCTCAATTTTTATAATAATATTCTTTTGTGTTGATTTTTTTCTCAATTTAATCTTTGCTAGTCTATGTGCTCTTAATAAGGACTTATTAAATTTAGGAGTTGCATTTAAACGTGATGAAAATATCTAATTAATTGATTACATATGATATTTTAGGTTCAAAATATGATTATTAATGACGGCACGTACGTAGTTAATTATTATTAGTAATTTATAGTATTAATAGAGACCATTTAAATTTTGAGTGATACAAATGTTCCATAGAAATAACTTAAATTTTGAGCTAAATTGAAGTATTCCTATGTATTTGATCTCTACTCTTTGTGTTCTTCTACAAGTTTTTGTGTGGTCGTCTCAAATTCTCCACACTATTTTTCAACTGAATCGGCTATCTTGAATTAGTAAGTTGTTTATAATTTTCCTCAGTCGCCGCAAATTCTCTACATTATTTTTTGATTGAGTCGGCCATCTTGAAGTCTCCGCACAGTTTTTTGACTAAATATATACTGAGTCGATCACCTCGAATTCTGTGCGCTTTTTTTACTGAATAAAATACTGAGACGGTTACCTTGAATTTTCCGTATTGTTTTTAATTGAGTTGGTCCACCTCAAATTATCCACTTGTACTGTTTTTCGACTAAGTTGGCCTACTTCGAATTTTCTACATATACTATTTTTCAATAGAGCCGTCCTATCTTGAATTCTCCACATGTATTGTTTTTTGGAGGAATTTGATTTTAAAAAATCGGTCCATGTTCATTTGAGTGAAATAATAATAGCATATTTAATATAATCTTTAGAAAATAAAATATACATAGATTATGTATTCTTCATACTGAATGATGGATAAAACATTTTTGGTTTTTTGAGCTTTGGGAGATTTTTAATTCGTTTATATTAGGTTTGCTGCCTAGATTATTCAAAAACTTTATTTTCTTATTCAGAAATCAGAATGATGTATGAAAGAAAGAAAAACAGTTTGCTATTTCATATTTACTAATTCTACCAATTAACAGTTATAAAGTTAAATAATATCCACAACCCAATAAATCCAAATACCCTTTATATATAATATGACTTGATTGTAAATACACCTATCTTATAGTAGTAAATAAACTTACATTTTTTACTATTGCAATATTATGGTATTACTCATATGTTTTGAAAATAAAATACTTCTATTTTTCAAATAATGAAAATCTTACACAAATTAAAGAAACGTGCATTGAAGAAAACAAATTCGAAATAATAAAAAGCAGAAGAATAATAAACCAAACTAAAATAGAAAAGGAAATTTCATATACATTATATATAAAATAATTATTTTTTAAAAATGTAACTCGCTCACACGTTCATAATGCAAGAATTGACTAAACAATATTAGGTGAGCTAACGTGAGCCACATCTGAAATGGCGAGGGGAAGGGGGAAAAAGATGACCATTCTTACAAGAGACAAAGCGAAGGTCCAGGTTATGGGCATACATGACATGGAAGGGAAAGAACAATGGCCAGCATTAGTGGGTTCTAAAACCCCAATTTTGCACACTGAAACCCCAATCCAGACCCCTGTGATTGGGACTGGAATGATAAATTCAGAACAGCCAGGTGGGGAAAATGTTCTGATAACTCAGTGAGCTAAAACCCCAGTGGTGGAATCACCGGAAAAGCTAAAATGGGTGAATCTATTTCAAGGTAAGGGAATCGATTAGCAGCACAAGGGATGACATTACAATATGTAGCTCCTGTAGTGCACAATGGTGAAACAGTGGTGGAACTATCCAAGACATAAGTGGAGCTTGAAACCCAAAGATGGAAGCATGCGTTAATCCTCTATGTGGTGGGAGTTAATCCTACAATAGCAGCACTTGAAAGGTATATTGCAACTAACTGGAATTATATTACAAAGCCCAAAGTGTATTACCATAATGATCGATATTTCTTTGTAAAGTTCACGATGCTAGAGGATAGAGATGAGGTTCTCTATGCAGGTCCACATATGCTGAATAATAAATCCATTATTGTGAAAACATGGTCCTCAGAGTTTGACTTTAACAAGGAGGTACTGCAAACTATCCCAATTTGGGTTAAGTTTTCCAATCTGTCATTGAACTGTTGAGGTGTGAATTCGTTAAGTAGGATTGGAAGTGGTTTGGGGGTACCTATATACGTAGATGAATGCACCACACAGGTGGATCAAATCTCATATGCAAGAGTACTTATTGAGATGGACATCACTAAAACTCTACCAATAGAATTAAAAGTAGAGGATCCTAATGGTAGACTGTTCACACATGAGATAAGCTATAAGTGGGTTCCAACTTATTGACCTAAATGCTTAACTGTAGGACATAAGTGTCAAAACATGGAGAGAGTAGCAAGTAGGCCGACAACAAGACCTAGGAAGAGAATAATGGAATAGAAGACTCGAGCATAGGGTGGTAAAGTAGTTCAAGGGGATATACCAGGGACTATTACTGATCCTAGCACTAGTACTATTCAGAAGGTGGTAAATGATGAAACTGTGAGCCAAGAGCAACCTGAAAAGGAGACATCGTGAAAGGAAGTGAGAGGAAAGTCTGCAGCAAAATGAGGATTAAACTTTGACAAGGCGATAACTAACACTGCAAATGAGTTCAATGTACTACATGATCATGCTAAAACTTGTGGTAGCGGGTGGTGGAGGCCAAAGTGGTAGCAGAATACTTGGAAGGGGTTCTACCCTAACCAATTTATTATGCAACTAGTAACATGGAACACTAGGGGTTTGAATAAAGTTCATAAGCAGAAGAAAGTGAAATTGTTTATTAGAACACATAAGATTAGTATACTAGCTTTACTTGAACATAAGGTGAAGTAATATCAAGCAGCCAGAGTACTTAAAACAATTGCACCAGGGTGGGCTAAAATAGACAACTATAGTTGTAGTAATAAAGGGAGAATTTGGATTATATGGGACCCCCAAATTATAGATTGTGAAATTGTGGAAGTGGATGAACAATACATTCACTCGGATGTGAGATCTTTATCAAGGGACTGTAGGTTTTCTTTTACTGCAGTATATGGTCTGCATACCATTGATGATAGAAGAAGTTTATGGGGGAAGCTGAGGAGCATTAACCTGAGACAGCAGGGTCCATGGATGTCTATGGGAGATTATAATGTTATACATAAAGCTGAGGACAGGTTGATTGGTTCTACAATCCATAAAGCTGAAACTAAGGACTTCGATTCTTTTTTGAAAGACACAAGAATGGCAATACTAAGAGCTAATGGTAGGGAGTTCACCTGGAATAATGGGCATACATATAACAAGATTGATTGGGCACTAGTAAATGTTATATGGTTATTAGATATGCAATAATTGGAAGTGCAAGTAATGAACCCTGGATGCTCAGACCACTCACCTCTCAGAGTTGTTTTGGCACTGGAAGAGGATAGAAGACATAAGCCTTTTAAGTTCCTAATTAAATCACTTGGCTCAGCATGGAGAATTTCAGAGGACAGTGCAAATGGCTTGGCAGCAAAGTCACAATACTGGTACAATGTATGGGGTATGGCAGAAACTTAAAAGGGTGAAAATAGCTCTGAAAGAACTGAATATTGCTGAATATCAGGGAGTGGAAACAAGAATTAAGATGTATAGACATCAGTTGCATGATTTGCAAAACATTATAAGGCAACCTGGGCAAAGTACTGATATTCTACAACTTGAAAAAGAGGTTAAGGAGAACTTGGAGAAATGGCTAAACATTGAAGAGAGTATACTCAAACAGAAATCGATAGTGCAGTGGCTACAATTGGGAGATGTAAACACATCATATTTTCATTCTAGTTTGAAGAATAGAATAGTCTGAAATAAGATCTTAAGCTTTACTACTGCTGATGGAAGAATGGTAAATAACAGTAATGATATTGAGGAAGAAATCATAGAATTTTATAAGCAACTATTGGGATCTTCTGCTACCCAACTACCTGTTGTAAATCCAACGGTGATGAGAGATGGTCCTGTCCTGGATAGAAATCAACAAGCTAAATTGATTAAACATGTGACTAGGCAAGACGTAGTAATGGCTCTACAGGGCATAAATGATGCTAAAGTTCCTGGATGTGATGACTTTAATGCCCTATTCTTCAAAAATACCTGGGCAAATATAGGAGAGGAAATCACTGTTGTTGTATTGCATTTCTTCTCAGCAGGTATGATGCGTAAAGCCATTAATTGTACTACTGTCACTTTGATACCTAAAGTTCATCCTTCCAAAATTTCTAAGCATAGACCTATATCCTGTTGTACTTTATTATACAAAATTATATCAAAAGTTCTAACAAATAAGATGCAATATGTGATGGATGTCTTGGTGGATAAAAAATCAATCAGCCTTTGTTCCTGGTAGATTGATAAATGATAACATCATTCCTAGTAATGAATTAGTTAAAGGATATGGAAGGAAGAACGTGTCTCCAAGATGTATGCTTAAAGTAGATATGAAAAAAGCTTATGATTATGTGGAATGGGGGTATCTTAAGAAGGTAATGGCACACTTGCAGTTTCCTAGGAAGTTTGTGGATTGGATGTATCAGTGCACTAGTACAATTTCATATTCTATACTCGTAAATGGTCATCCCAGTATCCCTTTCCCTGCAAAAAAGGGATTGAGACAAGGGGACCCAGACTTGTCACGACCCGATTTTTTGAGTATGATGGCACCTGCTATACCCTATCAGTAGGTAAGCCAACCCGTAACCCAGAACATCAAGCAATGAGCGTAAGAGCAAAAACTAGCGAAAACAATAATCTAAACGAGGACAACAAGGCGGAAGCAAACCAAAATAAATATATATAGAAATCTCTCACAGAACCTGGAAGTCACTAGTACAAAGCTATCTAATAAAGAGTACAAGTCCCAAAAGTGGACCACATAAAGCGTGTCTCAAAAGCAACAAGACTAGCTAAAACAAAAGAAGGAGACAGAACAAACCCAAAACGCCAAGTGCTAGCCCTCGTCTCCGAGTCACAGCTGCAAAAAAGGGCTGGAACTAATCACTGCTGGTAACTGGTACTAGGACTTGCATCACGAAGTAGATGCAGAGCGTAGCATGAGTACCAACACAACATGTACTCAGTAGGCATCAAAGGCCGACTTAGCAAAAAGGGTAAAAACAATAAGAAAGGATAAAATTTAGACACAGAGAGGTCAAAACGGATATGAAAATAAAGCACACGAGCATACCAGAAATAAACTAAGTACAACTAAACTAAACCTAACTGGACCCCCATAAGCCCAGAAGGTACACTCGTGCGCAAGTTCAAATAAAACCTGAACGGACCCCCATAAGCCCGACAGGTACACAGAAAAGCTAAGTCTACTGAGAAAGAAGAAAACCGGGCTCCCAGCCCAAAGTAACCAAGATAACCCATCAAACTTCACCCAACCAACAGTGTACTCCCAGCCCAGCTAGAAAGAGTGACCCCATGGGGGTACCCTACCAAACAATCCACTCTCAGGACAACTAGAAAGAGGGACCCGAGGGTGATGTTGATATCGTGAGTCGTCCTACCATGCAGTCAGCTCCCAACCTAGCTAGAAAAAGCGACCCGGGGACACCCAGCCAGCAGCACACTCCCAGCCCACCTAAAAAGAGAGGCCCGAGGGTGATCGCCGAAATCACCGAGTCTACCCAGCCAGCGATACACTCCTAGCCTAACTAGAAAGAACGATCTCGGGGGTGATGGTATCTCCAATAGGATCCAATCCAACAACAACGCACCACCATGGAATGCCGTCCACTCTGAGAAATCACAGAAAAGTCTCCAAGCCTATACTATCTCAGTCCCACGCCTCTAGTGATGCATCGAACCTTCGATAATGCGTCGAAACCGCAGAATAAGAGGGAGAAGATACAGAAGTGCAGCATGCAACGATAACGCCTAATCTAAGGCTCAACTATCAGACTCAAGTCTGCTACTCCAGTCTACAAGGAGCTAAGTCATCCGAACGACGTCGACAGAAAGTCAAGGTTATCCAGCTCACACGAGTCATAAGTCTAAGGCAATGCTAGCCTATCCTAGACTAAGGACATCATGTTTACGGTTAAGGATGAACAAACATACAACACATAACATACAAACATACAATAATATTTAGCACATAAGCATGCAACTCTACTAAATCGGTTAACATGATACTATACCCGAAATATGGCCAATCGATCTTAACATAAGGTATCTAATCAAAGTAAAGTAGGAAACTAGTACCCACCCCCAATTCACTTCAATCGACATGTTTTTACACAATTAAGCTCAATCTAACAGAAAAAAAGTCGTAGCCTACCTTAAGGCCGACCACGCGCGCTCCAAATCACTTTGCCAGAGCTTTTCCTTCCCGAACGACCTTTGAACGCTGTCACTCTATCAAATATAGCATCACAACGTTAGTACGGTCGTTTAGACACCAAAATTGCAACAAACGGAGACGGTCAATTTTGGAGTCAAAATGAGAATCGTGGGACCCGCATCGAACTGTTCAATTTTGACTCTGTCAAGAGACCCAAAATAGTATACCGAACTTGTGTTCCAAAATGGAACACAATTTGGGGCTCAAAACACACCAAAACCCAACAAGCAAGAAAACCACACTTTAATCAACTTAAAAGAAAACATGCAACAGTCTAAACTCAAAATCTACAAAGATCTAATAGTGCCCAGCACTCCTTGAACACTCCATGATGAAGCCACGACAATTCCCAACACGTGGATTTCGAATCACCCAAAACCGAGCTAAAATGAGTGAGATATGACCAAAACAAGAATGCCAAAAACAAAAAGCTCAAAAAAAGGTACAACAGTCAGGTTTATCGCGATATTACCTCGAACTACGTGCATTCGACAACTTTCGAACACTCTACCGCGAAGCCACCAAAAATACGAAGCCCCCGCAGTTCGAATCGCCTAATTCGGTTAAGAGATGAAAGAGATATGATGATTTTAAATTTGGAAAAGGGTTGTTGATATAGCTGCATTTTATAGCTGATTTTTCTGCATTAACCTTCCAAAAACTTAAAACTCCGACGGGGTGTTCTGATCTCGTTCGAAACCCCGTGCACGCAAACGAGATATGCAACTATACCAAATTCAATATTCCGGACTCAATGACGCAATCAAAATTTTAATATGAGGTCATTTTGATAAAAAGTGGGTCCCACACCCAACCGCCATTTTAAGTCAAAAACCATAAAAGGGCTCGGAAAAAAATCAGAAACCTCATGACACAAAAGAAGGGTCAATCTAGAACAAACTCGACACTCCGGAGCTGACCGCGCTGACAAAATTCTCATCCGAGCGTGTTTACTCAGAATGTTGACTAAAGTCAAACTTAGGCTTAAACTTAAAGTTAAAATGCTTATTCGCACCGACTCACACTAAAAAACCTTAGGAGTCATGCCGACTATGCTATTAGCCTAAAATGATCCTTTCGGAGCTAATGGAATTGTCAGAATTGGATTCCGATATCATCTTCTTGAACTTTTGATCGAAAATGATCGTTCAAGGTTCATAAGTTCCAAAAATAATAAAACTCGCACAATAACCAAACGAACGACCAGGTGACCGAACTGTCAGTCTCAACAAGTCATAAATGACTTGGGAGCGCTACAGGAACACTCTAAATGACACATCGAAGGCAAAACACAGAAATGACCTGGAGGGTCATTACAACCCAGTATCCTCATATCTATTTGTGTTATCCATGGAGTATTTGTCAAGATTATTCAAGAGACTACAACACAATCCTGATTTTAATTTCCATCCAAAATGTGAGAGATTGCAGATTATACAACTAAGTTTTGTTGATGATCTTTTACTGTTTAGTAGAGGTGACATTGGTTTAATTAAGCTGTTGTATGATGTTTTTCATGAGTTCTCTCTAGTCTCAGGGCTAGTAGCAAATGCTGACAAGAGCTCCATTTATTTTGGAGGAGTGCCAAGGGATACACAAGGAGAAATCCTATAAGAGTTGGGCTTCTCACAGGGGTTACTACCTTTTAAGTACTTAGGTGTTCCCTGTAGTACCAAGAGAGTATATATCCTACAGTATCAACCACTAATTGATAAGATAATGCATAGAGTTCAGAGTTGGACTTCCAAGTTTCTATCTTATGCAGGAAGGGCTCAACTAATTAAGAGTGTGTTGTTTTCCATCCAAGTGTTGTGGTCCCAAGTGTTCATAATCCCAAAGAAAGTGATTAAATGTATAGAAACAATATGCAGGACTTTCCTATGGTCAGGGGGTGTGAATACTTCTAAGAAGACATTAATTGCATGGAACAGGTGTGCAGGCCTAGGACAGCAGGAGGACTCAATATATTGGATGCACAAATATAAAATAAGGCTGCAATAAGCCAATTATTGTGGAATCTGTGTGTTAAGAAAGATACATTATGGGTGCATCAATACTATGGGAAACAATGGACTTTATGGGTGTAAAAGCAACTCAAACTTCTTGGATGGTGAGGAAAATATTACAAATGCATCAAGAACTTCAAATTATTGGATGGAATGAAATGTATATCAAGCAGATGGACAGGTTCTCTATCAAAAAATTGTACAAAGCTCTGAGGGGAGAGAGTATCAGAAGGTTGAATAGAGAAGACTAATCTGTAATAATGTCGCATGCCCAAAGTGGAATTTTATACTGTACTTAGCACTGCAAAAAAGGCTACTCACAAGGGATAGACTAGCTGCATGGGGGTGCGTAGAAAAGGTGCAGTGTGTGTTGTGCGAAGCTAATGATGAAAGCCATAATCACTTGTTCTTCTAATGTATGTTCACAACTCATGTGTGGCAAGAGATTTTGCACTGGTTAAATATACAGAGAAAGGCTCGAGGATGGGATGAGGAAGTGTTGTGGGCAAATACTCACTGCAAAGGCAAATAAGCAAGAGCTAATGTGTACAAGATGACAGTGGCAGCAAGTGTTTATGTTGTGTGGCAGGAGAGGAATCAACGTATCTTCAAGCAAATAATCAGAACTCCTGGAATGTTGGTGAGAAAGATTGTTCAAGGTGCATTTACGAGGAATAAAATGGGCAAGACTTGATCAGGTGCTCCAATTCCTGAATGCTTATCATGTTTAGTGTAAGGCAGTTTGATTGATGATTTTGCTAACCATAGTGAAATACTTGATAGTTAAGATTGAAAGCTAGTTATTTGATGCAAGTCTGGGGGATGTCCAACTTGCTTTTTTGTTTTGTAATTCCTACTTGGTAATAAAATTATTTATTTACCAAATATATATATATATATATATATATGAAATCTTTTGTATTTTAATCATTCTATTTTATAATATTAAAGAAAGTTACATATATATGTCTTAAATTTCCAAATTAAATACTTAAAGCTCTTATAAAATAAAATATTGTTCAAGCTAATATTTGTGGTAGTTAAGTGTATAATTTTAAAAATATAAGGGGATATCTGTAACTGAGTAATAAATACATGGGTCTAAGTGTAACAATAAAAAAGATAGAGGGAACAGAAGGTTTGGGGTTAATTCCTCCTTCTAGGGTTTTAGAATTTTGAGGTTCCTCTTTGAATCTAAACTAAAACCCTAAAATCCTCTGTGTATCTAAGCATTGCAGATTAAGGCACAGAGAAGCACAAAGTACAATCAGAGGTATCAATTCCACAATTTGCTCTTTGGGTTTTCTGTATTACTTCAATTCTACTCTGTTGAGTTATAAAAATCACCAGAAAGAAACTATCTTTTGCTGAAGAATTGTTCATTAATGTGATATTTCTAATGTAATTGTGTAGAATATGAATTACCCTTGAAAGTTTCTTGGAAGATATTGTATTTTGAATTTGGTTCAGAATCTTTTGTTGCTAACTTGAGATGCTAGTAATTCGGAAAGTCCGAAAAAGTGTATCTTGTAAAATGATTTCTCACCTCAATCATCTGTTTAGTACTCCAATTTCTGAAAAGGGTTCCACTTCTCATAGTCCCCAGAAATTTTCGTCATTGAATATTCGATGTTTTCGTAGTTCACCTAATGCTAAGGTTGAAGTCCCTGAATTATCAACTCAGACACCCATTTCCCCTGCTGTCAATAAAATATCACGGGTTGCAAGAACTGATGGACAAGCAGTACTCTTTGAATACTTGCATTGTACAAGAGGTTTTAATTATGTAGATGCTGAGCACATTAGCAAGAACTCACCTTGTTTTCTTCAAAGTCTGTTGTCCAAGGTTGATAATGATCAAGATGTAACAAGGGCATTGACCCGTTACTTCAGGTACCATCCGATTAATGAGTTTGAGCCCTTTTTAGAGAGCTTGGGGTTGAAGCAATCCGAGCTTACATCTATGCTTCCACGAGATTTGATATTTTTGAGTGATGATCATGTCTTGTTTGATAATTATCATGTTCTTTGTTATTACGGCATCCCTCGCACTAAAATTGGGAAGATTTATAAGGAAGCGACTGATGTATTTGGATATGACCATGGAGTATTAGATATGAAATTGAGGGCTTATGAGAAACTGGGTTTGAGCAGATCAACAGTTATAAAGTTGGTGACTTGTTCCCCTACTCTTTTGGTTGGTGAGACGAACAATGAACTTATTCAGGTTCTTGAAAAACTGAAAATTTTAGGGTTTGAAAATGATTGGATGGGAGGATATTTATCCAACAGGCACTCCTACAATTGGGGTAGAATGCTTAACACATTGCATTTTCTCAATGAAGTAGGATATAGTGATGAAAAGATGGCGACTTTGTTTACGATGAACCCTGCATTCTTATTTGAAGGCTCTGGGAAACAGATTTATGTATTGGTAGGGCAATTACTGAAGTTGGGTGTTAAAATGAATGACATATACTTACTTTTCTGTCAAAATCCTAATATTCTATCTCTGAAGTGTACTAAAAATCTTTGGCATGCATTGTACTTCTTATCGGAGATAGGATTAGAGACCGAAATAATTGCAAATATTGTATCTACACATATACAACTTCTGGGTTCACATTCTCTGAAGGGACCAAAGACTCTTTTGAGGGACTTCAAGGGTGACAAGTTTTGTTTATGTCAGACTATAAAGGATGATCCTTTGAATTTGTTCAGATTAGCTTCAAAATCAAAATTTGACGTGGAGCAAATGACTTCCCAGGACCCGGGAAAATTATTTCAGAAAACTACTTTTTTATTGAGATTAGGTTATGTAGAAAATTCAGATGAGATGGCAAAAGCTTTGAAGCAGTTCCGCGGACGAGGAGACCAGTTGCAAGAGAGGTTTGATTGCCTAGTAAACGCTGGTTTGGACTGCAATGTTGTAATTAATATGATTAAACAGGCTCCCACGACACTGAACCAGAGCAAAAATGTGCTTGAGAAGAAAATTGTTCTACTGAAAACATATTTAGGTTATCCGGTGGAATCGATTGTATCATTTCCATCTTACCTCTGCTACGATGTGGACAGAGTCCATCTTCGGTTTTCAATGTATGCATGGCTGAAGCAAAAGGGTGCTGCAAAACCAACATTATCAGTGAGCACTCTTCTTGCTTGTTCAGATGCTCGCTTTGTAAAATATTTTGTTGACATACATCCAGAAGGTCCAGCAATGTGGGAAAGTTTAAAAAGTTCACTTCAATCCAGCTGATTGACTTCAGTATCATTTTTGATTAATAAAGTTGCCATATTTCCCTTATCTAGTTCTAATTGATTATCCAATTTTCTTCTTGTTGGTTTGTCTAGGTATTTCTTTTTAATCTTTAATACGTCTCTTGTTAGGAGACACACATCGCTCAATGATATTTTGAAGTGTCAGAAGGGGGATTGCTTGGGTTTTTTTTCTGCTTTCATTCTGTTAAAGGACTTCTCATCCCAGTTGCTAGTTGCTACTCCCATTGCAGCCCTTTCTCTTCATGCTGTAGATGAGGGGACTCTGGATATTTTGTTAGGGTCTTTCTGACAGGACAAGAAGGTACCATGTACTGATTGAGTGATTTCATATAACGAAGCTTGTGGTAAAATCTGTATGTTACATATCTTTAAGCTTGTAAAATAATAGATCTGACGTAACACCCTAGCCATCCTTCTGATAAACCGTGGTGGATAGAGTTGGCTGGTATCAATGCTGGTGGGAGGTAGTGGGTGCCCGATGAATTAGTCGACATTCCGCCTAGTTGGCTAGGACACCAAAGTTATGAAAGAAGTCCAAGCCACCACCCTTGAAAGAAAACTGTTAGTAATGATTTTGGGTGCAGTCCCTTTGTTATCCATCAGACAGCAAGTCCTTAGACCTGTATAAGAGGTTTGTTGATTCTTTCAATCTTCTATTGCTTTTGCTGGTGAAGTCTCTTATCCTTACTAAGACCCAAGAATCTCTTTCCCAAGTGGGGAGGGGAATACTAATAAAGAAGTCTATCTATTCTGTTACTATCAGTAAGTACACTTTTTTTTGGTGTGTGTATCATCAATTATCAGTGTTACTTTTCCTTCGTTTCTTTATGATAGTACATTTTCTGTTCAGCCTCTGTATTCCCCTGGTTTTCATAACGATGGATTGGGGCATTTCCTGTTAGATATCTTCTTCTTTTGTTTTGGCAAACAAACAAATTGTGTTGATAGCAAGTGAGATAGTTACAAATCCAGCTAGGAACAGACCTCTCAAAGGAAAACAAAACAGCTCTACTATTCGAGCTTACAACAACAGGCTGTAGTAGCTATGGGGTCCTGGAAAACAATGCTTAATCAAAACTACAGTCTATACATAAAGACAACAAGCAAGATTAAAAGTCATAGTAAGCAGCTACCAATTAAGGGAGGCTTGGTAATATAGAAGCTAGTGTTGTCCCCCATTTTGGCAGTTCTTGGCCTTTGATGTGTATATGCAAAGCTACCTCTCTGCATACTCTACCAATGTTGTAGTGGCCTGCTTTGAATCTCAAGCCATTCCTCTCTGTCCATATGATAGCCACAACCATAGCAACCACACTGCACAGGATTGCTCCTTTGCCAGATTCGGACATAGCACACATATTGGCCCATAGAAGCTCCTCATTCCAGTCCCCTACAGGTCTGTTTATGCCCAGCCAGTTGAGCAGCCTAGTCCATAACCACCTTGATTCACCTAAAGTATAAATGATCAAAAGACTCCACTGCTGTTGTGCAGAAGATGCAATCCGTAAGAACCTGGATGCCAAACTTCTGAAGCCTTTCAACTGTGGCCAGTCTCCTCCAAGCAGCTTGCCGGAGGGTGAATTTTCCTGTTAGATATCAGTTTTCTCAGTTTGTGTACGTGTTTCTTTTTCCCTAATGTTGATCCGAAATAATTAACTGTTCATGATGTAATGCTATATAATTATGAAACACTATAGTTTTGGCCCCAAAACTCCTTTTTCTTGAACAGGTCATTGATTTGTGTGCCTGCGCTTTCTTTTCCTCTCCTTTATGGACGCAGCTCGACATATTGTGTGTTCTTGTTTGCTTATGACTTATGAGGAAGTTATATACTATCTCATACTAAACCTGTTGGAGTATATTAGTGAAATTACTTCCTTCTATGCAATTTTAGAGCATAATTACCTTATCCTTAAATTTACTAATATTCTAGGAAGAAATTCCAGAGAACACTGATATCAAGTTGTTCTGGTGGAATGATTTTGTAAACCAAATGATGGATCATTTCTTCTCATATGCAAGTCTTGGTGGACAGAACTAATTAGTAACATGTACTAGTGGAAGGTATCTGTTGGACTGAGTGAGTTGCGCACAAACTTGCTCAGACACCACCATTATAAAAATAATTCCTTATTGTCTTTTTAATGAAAGGTAAATTTCACTGCTATGCATCAATTTGGTGCCAAATATTCTACAGCAAAACATGACTTCTATCCTCCCATGTCTGAAGAGAGTTGAAAAAAATCCACAAAAATGTTAGCATCCCGGGCAACTTCCAAATCACTCAAAGAATACAGAAGCTGTAATGCTTTGTATTTACACATGGTAAGGGCTGATAATTGTTTCCAAAACACCTATAATTTCTGTTTTACAATTTGTCCAAAAAATACAGACAATTGTTGCAATATATAAACATCTGTTGAGGAACTTGTGAGATCATATTTAACTTGAACTTGTATTCTAGTTCGAGAAGAATAGAAAAAGATAGTAGTGGTGAGATAAGGAAAAATAAACCCCACAAGACGCAAGTTGTCGTCTCTTTCAAAGACAAAGAGTCCTTGTTTACGTCAAAATGATCTGCAGCTCAACATAAACGCCATCTTCTGCAACAAGAAATGACTATTACTCTCAAAAGTTTATCTGGTGCAAACAAAGAGATGATCCAAATATCTCTACATAGTGATAAAATACGATAAATTCTCCATACACGTTAATCATTTCTACATCATTAATATTTCCACAAGCTTGTTCTTATGCAACTTTACTTCTACTATAAACAAGCAAGCTTAACAAGATGAACTATGAAAATGGTCAACGATAGAGCAGCCACTATAATGAAAATTTTACAAGATAAGTGTTTTGAAGACTATTTATCTTACATACAAAACTGAGTTTAAGAACAATTCGTAGGGTAAAACCTAGTTACTATCATAAGTTCCTAGCTTTGACACTTGCACCATCTTTAAAAGTTGTGGAAGATGATGAGGAAGACAAGCCAGAGCAATGAAGTCCAGCCTTGTCTTTGTTAAATGCCCTTTGAACATCATCTTTGAGCTCCTTAAATCGCCGCCTCTTGATCTTTTGTTCCTCTGGAGTGCCCTTCTCAAGGAAAAATAAGTCGGGTAAGTCATCCTCCATAAACTTATCCAGAACTTGGGAGCAATGAGGAAAGTAGCGTTTGCCCAGCTCAACTGCAACCATGAAATCAGAATCAATTTAGAATAATGAGAAGAGCTTGAAAATACAATTCTGAAATTGTCAATTCATAATGGAACCTATGTGCAAACAAGAAAATGTTAAGGAAAATATAAACCTGCTGAAGGAACAGTTAGCAGTAAATACGGGGAAAAGCTCAACTAAGTTTTATGCCATGTTTCCAGCAACATTTAGTAGTAAGCTGGAACGTTGCGAAATCAGCGATATGACAGGCTTAAATGACCAAGGGACTCAAAGCACAAAGACATGATATCATGAATAAAAGACAGCAAAGTAGTGAGCTGCACTTGAAAAGTGATAGCATAGTCCATAGGACTCTCAACCTCTAACCAACGATGTTGGAGGTTTAAGACACCACGGTAGCACCACCATTGACTCCTGGACAGAGAGTGTCTAGGGGTGGGGTGGCGTGGGGTTTACCATATAAAGAAAATAATAATGAACTGCTAACTTGTTTTATCTTGTTGATTCTTCTCTATTTCAGTTTTTACTTCTTCATGCTATGTCTAGAAACTAGGGAAGGAAAGAGAAGATAAGAGAAAAGAACATGTTTGGGAATAAGAGAGAAAACAGTTGGTCCAAACAAAAACTTCTCTTCACTTTCTGTCCTAAAACAAACAACAGAAGGGGAAATTATGCACCTTTCCCCTCATTTTCTTCCTTCTCCAATTTGTAAACAACAAATTAGGTGTTTGCCAATCTTCTTTTGGAAGGGGCAAACTTCAACATACTTAAGGATAAAGAGGTCCAAACAGGTGATAACCTATATATATAAAGAACTACAAACCTGGTGTTGCCCTTCTTGCTTATTCTTAACTGTAAATGTTCAAGGGAGGGAAAGGACCAACAGTAAGAGATGGACAATTTTGCGACAGAAGATATGGTGTGAAAGTAGGATAAGAAGTAGTTATTTGCCATCTTTTTCTCAAAAACATTACAATTTGTAGTCTGAATTTCCACTATATATAGTCATACTTACAGGCATGCCATATACATGCTACCAGTTATATATATAATCATTCTTTCAAGTCAGAAGGGTATTTGATGAAAAAGAAAATTGCACAGAAAGTGACATACGTCAGGTAGGAGGTTGGCAAAAACCCTACACACACATGCACATATTTTTTTATTCTATTATCCTGAATATTTCAGGGATTTAACATCAATTGTTAATGCTACAGAATAGACCAAAAGTAATTTACATTCTTTGTTTTTCTTTCTTTTCCTCTTTTGGGAGAAAAGGAGGAAGTAGGCAGAAAATGGGTTGTCTAGATGCTCTTCATGTCGAGTAAATGGCTACTGATTAGATGATGATGATATTAGAAATAAATAGGAAATCTGGTGCATGTAAGATGATCTTAATCAACAGACTGGCTATCAGTGGATACCTGTCTTCGAGAGTCTTTCTTTCTGCATTATGGGTGTCTCATTCAGATCAACCTCCCTCAAGTTTCCAGATGAACCTTTAGATGCCAAATGATCAGCGAATTCAGCTGTTGTCTCAGCACTTGCAATTTCCATGGCTAGTTTGGCTTCAAGAGGGAACAATAATCGTGCAAATGCCACTGTAATACAAAAGCCATCATTAAATTACTTGCTCAGTGGGCATATTTAATTCATGTGAGGACCACAACAGATTCATCAGAATTGAATGAAGAAACCAAGTCAAGTTTTGACAGAAAAGTATCGTACATAACAAAAACAAACACTGGTAAGTGATAACATCATGGCTTCATTCAAAGTCATCATATAATAGAGAAATTACTCAGGTGTGTGTGTGTTATGTTTGTTTATCTTTTTTTTTTTTTT